CCTTCTCACCACCACACCACCAACACCAAACCACCCAACACCCCCTCTCAACACCACACCACCAACACCAAACCACCCAACACCCCCTCTCAACACCACACCACCAAACCACCCAACACCCCCTCTCAACACCAAACCACCAACACCACACCACCCAACACCCCCTCTCAACGCCACACCACCCAACACCCCCTCTCAACACCACACCACCAACATCCGCTCTCTCAACACAACACCACCCAACATCCCCCTCTCAACGCCACACCACCCAACACCCCCTCTCAACACCACACCACCCAACACCCCCTCTCAACACCACACCACCCAACACCCCCTCTCAACACCACACCACCCAACACCCCCTCTCAACACCACACCACCCAACACCCCCTCTCAACACCACACCACCCAACACCCCTCTCAACACCACACCACCCAACACCCCCTCTCAACACCACACCACCCAACACCCCCTCTCAACAGTACACCACCCAACACCCCCTCTCAACACTACACCACCCAACACCCCCTCTCACCACCACACCACCCAACAGCCCCTCTCACCACCACACCACCCAGGATACTATTGCTCGCCGCTCTGCTACCGGAGGGCGCTGACGTTCGGCCCGGGCTGTCAAGTGTTGACCTGTAGCTGCTGCGTTTTGGTCGTCTTGTTGACGGTGTGGGGCGGCCCTTGGCCGGGGCCTGGCGGGTGTTATGACATCGGCTAGTGGTGGCCGTGTTCGCCGGGTCGACACCGCCCGGCTTGATTTCTCGGCCCCCGTTGACTGGCCCTTGGTGGAGGTTGCCTTTATGGACGTCATGCATGTGGAGTACTGTTATGATCTCAGCCTACAGGAGAAACGAGTCTCCCTCCTTGAGAGTTATTCATCAAGCCTGACCTGATTAGAAGGTCTAGCAAATATTGAGGTGATAACGCATATGTAAAATAGTTGCTTGGATATGTATAACAGTTTGAGATTATGGGCAATGAAGGAGAAAACAGATAAATGACTGGCTAGGAGATGTGGACATTTTGCTGGAGGCGTGAGGCTCGCTTCTGGAGGACCTTGACCTCACTTGAGTGCCAGACATCGCAGGGGAAAGCCGCGCTCCGTGAGCTCCCGCCAGAAGGGAACCCCTAGTGATATATCTCGAAGAGAAGAGAAGTGTGTAGACGTGCCAGCTGTGGAACCGAGCTGGGAACGTTGTGGTCTCAAGTCCTGGTCGACGAGCAGAGTTCAATAAGCTGCTCAGAGGCATTTTCGTGGGCTGTGTGGAGCACCCTGACCAGACGCCGTCAGAGGGAAAGCGCCCTCGACCAGTTAATCTGTGGTAAGCACGATATACGCCAGTTCATAGTGATTGCTTGTAGTTGGTCGTGTGCCCAGCGACAGTAGCGATGTTTATTTATAAGTTAGACATGTTTTAATAAGGCAGAAAGCCTGAAATAGGAGAATGAAGAGGGAGGAACACGGAGCGACGTCCATCCCCTCTGAGCTCTCCGCTATGGGGTGTGGTTATCTTGAGGTTATCTTCAGATGATTTCGGGGCTTTAGTGTCCCCGCGGCCCGGTCCTCGACCAGGCCTCCACCCCCAGGAAGCAGCCCGTGACAGCTGACTAACACCCAGGTACCTATTTACTGCTAGGTAACAGGGGCATAGGGTGAAAGAAACTCTGCCCATTGTTTCTCGCCGGCGCCCGGGATCGACCCCGGGACCACAGGATCACAAGTCCAGCGTGCTGTCCGCTCGGCCGACCGGCCGAGCGGACAGACCGGCTATACCGGCTATGCCGGCCGACCGGCTGTGCCGGCCGACCGGCTCCTCCCGAAGTGTGGTGGCTTCTGCTGCCAGGGATGGTGCGGATGCTGGTGCTGGGCGTGGCCTGGTGGTGACTTTACATAAGGATCCGCACCGCCATGATTCCCTGCAGTCGTCTGGTGGTGTGCCCGTGGCCGCTGGTGCCCCTGTGGTGGTGCCCTCTGTTGAGCCGTCTGTCGAGCCCCCTCCTGCGGTGTTGTGCATTGAGGACCTGGAGGCCCGGGTTGCCGAGTTCCTGCTGCTTGAACGGCCGGAGGACTTTTCTGGTGGGTGGGTTCCAGGTGTATGGGATAGGGTGGCAGTTACTCGCGTTCGGAGGGACACCATGTGGGTTCCATGTCTGCGGGTGTTTGTTGCCGAGGTTCCGGTTCACATGGCGCAGCCGGTGTTAGGTCACGCCTCCTGGACAACGTGGCTGCTTTGGGAGTCGTTCAATGTGCGGTTTCCTCCGGATGTGTTCCCGGGCAAATATGTACGCTGATTTCATGTTACTGTAGTTGTTGTTTTTGTTGGTATTCTTGACTTGTTGGGTGCTGTGCGAAGTGTCTTGTTATGTTTTTTGATGTACTTTATGTTGTGTTTTATTCTCGATCCTTCAGGCCAGTGCATATATGTTGTTGTGTTTGTACCTGTTTGTTTTCTGGTTTGCGTGGTTTGCTTGTTTATTATTATTGTTTATTTTGGCCTCGCCCTTTGTTTGTTGCGGGGCGGATGGTTTGGTGTGAGTGTTTTTATTCCTGTATTGTTTCTGTGCTGTACGTTTGCACTGGTGTTTTCATATTGCTTTACCTGTTGTACGTGTTTGTTCTTTATGTTTTGTTTGGAATGTATTGTGATTGTCCTGTTATGTTTCCTGTTATGCCTTTTGAAGTATGTTTTGTTTTATGAAGGTTTTGTTTTGTGATGTTACTGTGCTTGCTTGTTTGCCATTGTATTATGTTTTGTGCCTTGATGTATGCTGTATTTTTCTATGCTTTTATCGTGTTTGTGTTTTGTTGTGCTGTGTTGTCGGCCCTTCTGGCCGGTGGTCTGTTCTGTTCTGTTTTCTGTGTTGTTTTTATTGTATTTAACTCTCTCTCTCTCTCGAGGCCTGACTTTGCGGTAATTGACCAAAGTAGAGATGTGGTTCAATGGACCTCAGTGGCTAGTCAGTGACCAGTGGCCTGAACGAAAGCTACAAGTCATTGTGACCAATGTCACTTCTCCCACTGATAATTCAGAATCACCTCGGACATTGGTAAATGATCCTAATTGGTACTCTGAACTGATCAAACTACTAGCGGTGTCATACGAGTGGTGTTTGATTTTTTAAAGAAAATAGGAATTGAGCATCAATTCCCTAATGCCCTAAAGTACTTGGTCAAAAGAGACCAAACAGATTAACACGGGAACGATTTTGAAAACGTCCCTAAGAAACTTGAAAGTGATCTGTGTATGTCCATCCATAGTGACTATAGGTACTATGCTTAATTTTCAATTACATTTTCAAGTATGTTTATTGAGACAAGAAAAAAATACATCTCAAAGGGATCGAGTAGCTTCAGCTATTTCTACCCTCCCTGGTACTATGCTCGTCCATCCACAATGACTATAGATATTTTGCTCGTCCATCCATAGTGACTATAGGTACTATGTACATCAGTCTATAGTGACTATAGGTACTGTGTACGTCCATCCATAGTGACTATAGGTACTATGCTCGTCCATCTTTAGTGACTTTAGGTACTATGCTCGTTCATTCAAAGTAATTATAGGCACTATTGTGACTACAGGTACTATAGGTACTATGTGACCTATAGTATAATGTGAATTATAGTATTATAGGTCCATTGTGACTACAGGTACTATTTAGGTCCATAAATAGTGACTATTGGTACTGAGTATGTCCGTCCATACTGACTATAGGTACTATGTAGGTCCATCCATAGTGAGTATAGGTACTGTGTACATCCATCTATAGTGACTATAGGTACTATGTACGTTCATCCATAATGACTATATGTACTGAGTACGTAAATGCATAGTGATTATAGGTACTATGGTCGTCCATCCATAGTGACTATAGATACTATGCTTATCCATCCAAAGTGAATATAGATACTATTTACGTCCATCCATTGTAACTATAAGTACTGTGTACGTCCATCCATAGTGACTATAGGTACTATGCACGTCCATACATAGTGACTAGATATTTTACCCGTCTATCCATAGTAACTATAGGTACTGTGTTCTTCCATCCATAATGACTATAGATACTATAAACGTCACTAAATAGTGACTATAGATAATGTGTACATCCATCCATAGTGACTATAGGTACTATGCTCGTCCATCCATAGTGACTATATGTACTATGCTCGTCCATCCATAGTGACTATATGTACTATGCTCGTCCATCCAAAGTGACTGTAGATACTATTGTGAATATAGGTACTATTGGTACTATGTGACCTATAGTATAATGTGAACTATAGTTGTATAGGTACTATAGTCCATTTTGACGATAGGCACTATGTAGGTCCATCTATAGTTACTATAGGTACAATGCTTGTCCATCGATAGTGACTATAGGGACTATACTGGTCCATCTATAGTGACTATAGGCACTATGCTCGTCCATCCATAGTGACTATAGGTACTATGCTCGTCCATCTATAGTGACAATAGGGACTATGCTCGTCCATCCATAGTGACTATAGGTACTATGCTCGTCCATCTATAGTGACAATAGGGACTATGCTCGTCCATCCATAGTGACTATAGGTACTATGCTCGTCCATCCATAGTGACTATAGGTACTATGCTCGTCCATCCATAATGACTATAGGTACTATATATGTCCATCCATAGTTACTATTGGTACTATGCGTCCATCCATAGTGACTGTAGGTACTATGCACGACTATCTATAGTGACTATAGGTATTATCATCTGTGAATGACAGGCTGTGATTGATGCTGAAGACGACAAGACTGAATATTTCATTCCCAAGAATCTTCAACAAATTGGAGACATAATGGCACCAGGCACAGGAGAATATTATTTTAATAATTTTCTTGTTGTACACATTTCATTAACTAAAATCATGAGTGAAGTAAAGTAATCATGAATCGAGTGACGAAACTGACAGACAGAGAAACATCGACACGTGTACTGTATATGTGACTCCTTACCTTGCATACACCTGTAGTCAAGAGTCATGTGAGTGGAGACCAGGTCAGTCAGGTTGGCCATCACCATCAGTATACTTTTTACACCTGTAAACAGTTGCCACCATTAAGATCGTATCCTTACATGTGTTTCTATGATGTGTTTAGCACTAGAGATTACCATGTGTACTGGTGCCTTATGGTGCTGTTTTTATAAGCAGCAAATATTTTGTTTACTAACTCATTAAATAAGTCACAAGGAACTTTGAACATAGCTTTGCTCCTACTCTTACCTTCCTCGACGCCTCCCTGCTCCTCCTGCAGCTGCTGTATAGCAATCTGGCTTAATATGACATTAGATGTCAAGTCAAACTCCTCCGTGTGACCCATAGTGGCCTCCGGGAAGGCGGCCGACCAGGCCACCAGGACACAGAGGAGAGGCAGCAGACAGGCAGACATGACTCTAATCACCACACTCGCACTACACACTAACCAACACCCTGCATGACTGCTGGCTTGCTGGCCAACATGTACTAAGTACACCCGCGCTCAACGCCCACACTGATAAATAAATATATGGTGCCACCAGGAAACTATCTTTCAATATGGCCAGTTCTTACATATGCTTTTACAAAGAGAAGAAGTCAAGAGAGAATAATGAGCATAAAAGAATATGAAAGAATGTAGAGATCTGTTACTAAGAAGGTTAAGCTATAATAGTTAAGAACTGAGAAGGGAGAACTGTCCTTCACAACCTGGGAGGATATAGCAAACTGAGGGGATTTGATCATAACATACAAGATACTGAGGGTAATGTACCTCAGTAAAAGGGACAGCTTGTTTTTAATGAGATAAAGAACAAGAGGACATATGTTGAATATGGAAACACAAGATAGTAGAAAAAAGATCAGGAAATACTCATACCCTGCATGTGTTGGCAACAAGTGAAATACACTGAAAGAAGAAGTTGCTGAAGCTACCTCTCTTCAAAAATGTTAAGACAAGATTCGACAAAGAATGTGAACGTGAGAATAGTTAAACTATAACGCAAGAAGTACAACAAGGCCCTAGTAGGCTAGGTTTAAAGAGCTATGCTTCACCTACCTTAGCAACCCGTCTTCAGACCAAGTCCATTGCATCAAGCTGTCGACCCCAAAGACACATTCTTCCGTTTTAACATTCTGTTCATTCAAAACAGAAGTTTTCTCATATATAAATTAATATATTTTATATTATCAAATTGTGGATATTTAGGCATTGGTTAGGTTAGGTGTTTAGCTTCTGTTGCCAATTATACGTATTTGTAGTATGTAGGTAAGCAACCCGTCCTCGACTGAAGTCCATTACATCCAGCGGTCGACCCCACAGACTTATTATTTTAATTTATTTAATTATTTAATTAATTAAATTATTATTTAATTAAATCATTTAAATTATTTAATTAATTTATATTTAATTTTTACATGCTGTTCATTCAAAACTGGAATTTTCTCAAAAATAAATTATAATTTATTAGCATATTGTGCATATATAGGCATAGGTTAGGTTAGGTTAGGTTAGGTGTTTAGGTTCTATTGCCGATTATTTATATTTATAGTACGCGTGAGTGAAGCATTTACAGCGTTGTGGTTCGAACAAAATTCGTCAGTGAGGCACTTGTTCTGGAAGTGTTCGAACGTCAACAGTTGAGAGTCGTGTGTAGACCGTTTTTCATTTATAAACAGGGGGTTTGGAGGGTGGAGGGAATCACTTTTGGGTCTTTGCTTGGAGGACGGGCTGCTGAGTTAAAGCATTGTGGCTCGAAAAAAAAATGTCAGCGAAGCACTTGTTCTGAAAGTGTTTGGACGTCATCAGTCGTGAGTCGAGTGTAAACAGTTTATCATTCATAAACAGGGGGGTTTCGCGGGTGTATGGAATGGTCTTTTGTCATCGTTTACGAGGACGTTTAGGCTGCCCTTAGTAGCTGATAGATAGGTAACACCATATCCACGCTTACTACCCCATCACCCCCTTCCCTGCACACACCATCTCCAACCATCCCACCACATACCCCCCCCCCTCACCATCGCTTAACCAACCACTACACCACCACCACCTTCCATGCAAACACCCACTCCAACCATCCCCCACCATCGCTAAACCAACCATTACCACACCACCACCTTCCCTGCACACACCCCCACCTTCCCTGCACACACCCTCACCAACCACCCAACCATCCCTCATCATCGCTAAACCAACCATTATCCCACCATCACCTTCTCTGCACAAGCCACCTCCCCCCACCCCCCCCACCCGTACCCTCACTAAACCATCCACTACCCTGCACCCATGCTCTACAAATTACAATATAACATCTCCCACTACCCTCCACCTTCACACCACCAACCACCAAAAATTACGACCCTCAACCTTCGCACCACCAACCACCACCCTCCACCTTTACTCAACCAACCACCATCCCCCCACTACTTCCATTTACGCAACACGAACTAGCATCCCCCGCCTCCCGCCACCTTTACTCGACATCCCAACAAACATTTTCGCGTTTTCTTAACGTTTTATAAAAGACATTTTATAGTTATAATCAAGTGTTACTTTACAGTTAATTCACGTGTTTTGAGAATTTGTAAGGATGCGTATAAAGCATGAGGTCTTGACGTTTTAATAAACATTTTTTAAATGTTATGATATAACGTTTAGGAAAAAGGTTTTTAAAACGTTTCTTCAAAATATTAGTTATTGCAATTATTAGGTATAATTATCTTTATTGCGTTTAGAATGACAGAGAAAGAGAGAGAGAGAAGAGAGAGAGAGACAGCGAAAGGAGTGAGAGAAGAGAGAGAGAGGGGAGAAACAAGAGAGAGGAGAGAGATGAGAGAGAGAGGGGGAGAGACAAGAGAGAGAGGGGGAGAGACAAGAGAAAGGAGAGAGAGAGAGAAGAGGGTGAGAGAGAAGAGGGAGAGAGAGAGAAGGAGAGAGAGAGAAAAGAAAAGAAAAGGAAATAGAAGAGAGAGAGAGAGAGAGAGAGAGAGAGAGAGAGAGAGAGAGAGAGAGAGAGAGAGAGAGAGAGAGAGAGAGAGAGGGGGGGGGGGGATGGCACTTGCAATTGAGGATGGCATGGCGACGTGCGTACCTGTTCTACTCTCTATCCTTTCATAGTTTCCCTAAACAATTTTGACTGAAAAACACTCCCAAGGTTCGCTTGGATTACTCTCTGCATGCCAACTCAGGCAAAGTAGTTTTGCAGCCCATTCAAGATGGCCCGTGACATTAACTTCCTCAGTAGGACTGCTTCTGGGAAACGAGTTACCGTACCGTATTGACGTTGAGTCAGTACTTGTGGCCCTTCTTGGTCTCTGGCAACAGACCTATACAATCCACTCTGATCCTTTCGCAAGGCTCACCTAAAGCCGGGGTGGGTTTTAAAGGTGTTTTGGGTGTAGCTGGTGCGGGCTTACCTGCACGTTGACAAGACAAACATGTCCTACAATATCTCTTCACATCTTTCCACATACTGGGCCAATAAAAGTGTTCTTGCACCTTCCTCAAAGTCTTCTTGACTCACAAGTGTCCTGCTATATCTGCAGAATGGGGCTATTTCCATCACTACAAATCTAAAATTTTTAGGCACCAACACTTGGTGTTTCTCCCTCAATATTTGATCTGCGCCGGCTCCATGTGGTCGCCATTTCATCATTAGTACGTCGTGCTGAGAGTCTGGACCTAGCTTCGGTAGGGGACAGACGTGTTGCCTCGGTGCTCCAGCAGTTAGTGTTGTTTACCAATTTGGCCAGTCGGGGGCGGGTGTGTCTCTGCCCGCCTGTGCTGACGTGGAGTTACGATGGGGGTCCCTCTCCCCCCTGTTGTCCGGGCTCAGTCTGTGGGACTCGAATTCTCTGTGCGGGCCGGAGATTGCGCTGGCTTGTGATTTGCTCTCTGTCCCTGTGTTAGCAATTTATGGGGTCGAGTTGGTAACGGCCTGTCGGGCGATAGTGAAATTCACGGAGGAGATGGCGTATCGCGATTTTCTCCGGCGATACGAGGGGCGGACATTACCCCTGCCGGATGGTGTGAGCACTGTGACCCTCTCTGATCGAAGAGGTGCCCTCACTTATGTCAGTGTGCATGGGGCTCCCTTGGAGTTTCTGGAGGGACTGCTACGGCAGTATTTCGGCCGGTTTGGCGCACTGGTTAGTGTGCGGGTGAACGTGGTGTCTTCCAGTCCACTTAAGGGTGTGAGGACTAACATTTGCACCCTGGGCATGAGACTCCGGGAAGATATTCTGTCCTCTGTGCGCCTTATGGGGTACAACGTTCGGGTGTTTTATGCCCGCCAGCCGCGGACGTGTTATCGTTGTGGCCTTTTGGGCCATCAGGCTGTTGACTGTTCTGCGCCTGCCGTTGCGCCAGTGAATCTCTTCAGTGAGGAGGATTTTCCGCCGCTTCCTGTGGGGAATGATTTGGTGGATGTGGACGTCACTTCGGCTGAGGAGGTGCCCTCTATGTCAGCTGTTGCTCCGCCTGTTGCGCCCCCTGTTGTTGTCGCCTCTCCTCCGGAGGTTGTGTCCTCGCCTGGTGCTCAGCCTGCTCCGGCTGGTGTCCCTGAGCCTCTTCCGACTGCCATCTGCTCGGACCCCTCGTCTTCCAGTTCTTCCTCTGCTGTGTCTGTCCTGTTCCCTGCACCCTCGCCATCTGTTCCGGCTGTGCTGGGAGCTAGGGTGGATCTGGCGCTTCCTCCTGTGCCTGGCCTGGTGCCCCATGTGGTTGAGGATGCTGCCGTACCGCGGCGTACGTCGGTTCGCCCGGCTAGTGTTGCGCGTGTCGCTGAGTCTGCCTCTGGGTCTGATGATGTGCGGCCCGAGCCTAAGCGTTCCCGGCGTTCTTCTGCGTGGGCTGAAGTTGGCGACTTCGACGAGTGTGGTCCTTCCGGTGATGATGGGGTAGCTCCGGTTGTGGTGCACACTACGGTGGTGGCAGAGGTGCACTTGCCTAAGGATGCCGGTGCCAGTGTTTTGGCCTCCCCTTCTGGTCTGGTGTCCGAGGGTCCTACTTCAGGTGCGTTGCCTGAGTCGGATGGCTCCGGTTCTTCGTGGGGGGTGGTTCCTCCTGCTGTGGTTGGTGGTGAGCGGGGTGGCCTGGTGATGGTGTTGAGAAAGGATGGTCGCTCTGGGAGTTCTGTGGCCCCTTCCTCGTTACCCGTTTCCTCGGTAGCGGTCATGCCGCCTCTTCCGTCTCCAGCAGTCTCTTCCGTGTCTCCTGCGGTCACTGTGGAGGTGCTACCATCTCATCGTCCGGCCCCTGCTTCTATGCGTGCGACGGCGTGGCAGTCTCGGTAGCCCTCATCCGCTTCTCCGGTGTCGTCTGCTTCCTCGAAGGGCGTGGATGGCGCTCCCCGGCCTCGTTATGCGACTTGCATCAGTGACCTCGGGCTTTGGCCGATGCCGCCCGATCTGGATGTTCCTGAGTTTATGGTGCCCCCTCGGCA